GGATTGATTCAGTGACTGGGATAATTGGGATGGGAGTGTCAGAGACAGTGCAATTGGCACAGGGCAGAGCAGTTTAGGGCTGTTGTACATAGGGTCACTATCAGGCACAAAAGACTCAACGGCACCTAACAACAACAACTTAATGTTACTCAGTAGTACACTTAAAAATGGTTAAAAGAAAAAAATTTATGCATTGCATAGATATATTTCATCACAATAAAAATACTTTGCCATAGAATATTATTTATTGACATGAGAAAATGTTAACAATATTATTTCTATATGAAATTTACACACAATACAATATATACAATTTAATACCATATTTATGGAAGGAAAAATAGTCATATATATACGAAATCATGCACAGAAGAAAAACAGAAGAATGTACGTACCAAATGTTAACAGTGGCTATCTCTGGATAGTGAGATTACAGATAATTTGTGCAATTCTTTCAATACATTGTACTTGTCCTCCCAAACACCACTTGCTTTATACTCTTTCTTGGTTATGATTTCTTTAATATAATTCTCTTCATACATGTTCTGTTTTATGACATATACCTCCAAATTATATTTCTGATAGAACTACTGCTATTCCCTTTAAAAAGTAATTGCTGCTTGTTCTTACCCTGGCATGTAGATATTTTCAATTAATAGAATATACTGTAAAATATACCACAGCATAAATCTGGCTATAAAAAAATGATCATTTAGAGCAATTTTTATTATTATTTTTGTGTGTACCATCAAATTGGAACTGATTGGTACAGGAGGAGATTGCCCTTCCTTCTTTGAACCACATACCTCTGGGATTGCAGTGCAGCTTCTTGCTACTAGGCCACAAGAGCTCCCCAACGGTAATTCTTTATTATTATGACTTTCTCTCTGAAAATAATTCAGTCAAATCAAATTTGATACAGAGGCTGAGAAAACAGAAAGAATGACTCTAAAGTATATATGAAACTATACCTTGTAATAAACTCCCTGTGGACCACACCTCCAGAGCTCTCTGTAGTTTTTTAGATGAGTGAGTATAAGAAAATACTACTGATACTCGAAGAAAATACTACTGATACTCAAGATTCTAATTTTAGAAGTATTTTTTGTTAAAACTACTGATATTCAGGTGAGCTCTGGTGGCCTAGTGGCAAGAAGCTGCACTGCAATCTCAGAGGGACACGGTTCAAATCCACCAGATGCTCTGCTGGAGAAGGAGGAACAATCTCTTCCTGTATCAGTCAGATCTGATTTGACGGTACACACAAAAAATAATGAAATAAAATGAAAAAAAAAATAAAAAAACCCTACTGATACTCAATTTTCTAATCTTAGAAATAATTTTTCTTTTCCCATAATAATCAATTAATTCAGTAAGTTCAGAACCTAAAAGTGTACTTACTGTATCAGGTAGAAATGCTGTTGACTTTATTTGCATATCTGCTAAATTAAGTGATTTTATGTTTCTCAGTCCCTGTTGATAATTAGAAAAGTGACAAAGCAGAGACCTCATAAACTGGTGTATTTCCTTACAGTTTCTAATGTAGGATTTGTCAGTGTGTGTCAGTGTGAACTTAGATTGTCTTAGTAGAAAGAAAGGCTTACTTTTCACACTGCAATTCCAGAGGTGCGCAGTTCGAATCCACCAGATGCTCTGCTGAAGAAGGAGGGACAATCTCCTCCTGTACCAGTCAGGTCCGATTTGACGGTACACATACACACAAAAAAATTAAAAAAAAAAAAGCTAACTTTTCTAGATGTCAGATACAGTGTCTGAAACTTGCTTGAAAATGCCCTTATCTGGTTGACATGCTGGAGAGAGTTTTTTTATGTAAATTAACTAGATTATAATGCAGTTTCATTGCTATTGAGTTTATGCCTTAGCGTAACTACCCCATAGAACAGAACAACTGCCCAAAGGGAGTGGAAGGCTGTAAATGTTTATGGACTCGGACAGGCACATAATTGTCCTCGTACTGGGCTGGTAGAGCTGTACTAACAACCTTGTCATTAGCAACCGCATTAAAGCCTGTACTCCTTTTGGATTGCAGTATAAAATGTAACTTGTAAAACTGGTGTATAAAAAGCACTATTGGTTAGAAACAACATGTGCTCTCTTAAGTAGTCCCAAGTGTAGCAATAAGATTATTTTACTTGTCATCAGTTTGATGTTGGCAATAAGATTATTTTACTTGTCATCAGTTTGATGTTGACTTATGTGGACCACATATGTGAAGATTAGAAGTACTGTGTACAGGGGAGCTCTGGTGGCCTAGAGGCAAGGAGCTGCAACTACAATTCCAGAGGTGCACGGTTCGAATCCACCAGATGCTCTGCCGGGGAAGGAGGGACAATCTCCTCCTGTATCAGTTAGATCTGATTTGACGGTACACTCACACCATAAAAAAAAAAAAGTACTACGTACAAAAATGAAGGCGTTGTTAGAGGTAGATAATGAAGTCTGTCTTATAAACCGTCAACTGTTTGGCTAGTAGAAAAGTATTCGTGCCCCAGAGAGACTCCATTGATGAGAGGCTGGCTGCCTGTCATAACAAGAGCCAGCCTACGCAGACCCAGTTACAGCTGCTCTAATACAAACTTTCTCTCTTCAGCAGAAACACAGCCACAAGTCTACTCCTGTTCCTCTTGCCTTCTGACTTTCTGCTGTCAGCAGTTCCTCAGCCAGCATGCACTTCAGATCTTCCCACCGTTATGTGCAGAACATCACGCCTTCCCGGCGGGGTTCAGCCCAGGGCTTCAGAAGCAGCAAGAGGAGCAGGATCCTGCTAACAGCTGCTGGAGTGAAATCCAAGACGTCGCTCATGAGAGAGAAGTCTCTAAATCCTTGCTTGGGAGGACAGGGGATAGTCAGACTTCAAGGATGTTTTCCAGCCTACTTGAAAGACACTCAGCAAGTTCTGGGGAAAAGGACACGAGGAGAGGCCAAAAGCCACACTTGACCCAAAGGGTGAACTCTGTGGAAAAAGAGCGAAGGTGGGATGAATCAGAAACCTCAGAATTTGTAACGGTCCAGTATAGAGAGCATACCCCAGACTGTGACTTAAAATTAAATGTCACCACAAACCAGAGTCCCTTCTTCCAGGAAAAGCTTTGTGTTTATAATGAGTGCTTGCAAAGCTATACCCAGAAGTTACATCTCGTCAAACACCAGAGGATACACTTAGGTGAGAAGGCTTATGGGAGCAAGGAGTGTGGGCAAAGCTTTATCCAGCAGTCACATCTTTTCATAAACCAGAAGATACACTCAGAGGAGACACCTCATGTTTCCAAGAAGTTTGGGCAAGGCTTTTCCCAGTGTTCAAATGTTACACGTAAGAAGAGACATTCAGGGGAGAAGCGTTATGTATGCAAAATGTGTGGGCATGCATTTACCCAGAAGTCAGATCTCATGAGACACCAGAGGAGATACTCAGGGGAGAAGCCTTATGTTTGCAAGGAGTGTGGGCAAAGGTTTACCTGGAGTTCAGCTCTCTCTGTGCACCTGAAGAGACACTCAGGGGAGAAGCCTTATGCTTGCAAGGAGTGTGGGAAAAGTTATGCCATTAAGTCGTATCTCATTATACACCAGAGAACACACTCAGGAGAGAAGCCTTATGTTTGCAACGAGTGTGGGCAGAGGTTTACCTGGTTTTCAACTCTAATAGCACACCAGAGGAGACACTCAGGGGAGAAACCTTATGTTTGCAAGGAGTGTGGCCAAGACTTTATCATGAAGTCTGATCTCGTCAGACACGAGAGGACACACACAGGGGAGAAGCCTTTTGTTTGCAATGAGTGTGGGCAAGCCTTTTCCCTGAAGTCAAATCTCATTACACATCAGAGGACACACTCGGGGGAGAAGCCTTTTGTATGCAAGGAGTGTGGAAGGGGCTTTACTCAGAATTTTATTCTCATCACACATCTGAGGACACATTCAGGAGAGAAGCCCTATGTTTGTGAGGAGTGTGGACAAAGCTTCACCTGTAAGTCAACTCTTATTGTCCATCGGAGGAGACACTCAGGGGAGAAGCCTTATGTATGTGAGCAGTGTGGGCAAGGCTTTACCCAGAAGTCACATCTAGTAACACACCACAGGACACACTCAGGGGAGAAGCCTTATGTTTGTAAAGAGTGTGGGCAAAGCTTTACCAGAAACTCACATCTCATTAGTCACAAGAGGACACATTCAGGGGAAAAGCCTTATATTTGCAAAGTGTGTGGGAGAGGCTTTACCCAGAATTCTAATCTCATCACACATCTGAGGACACACTCGGGGGAGAAACCTTTCATTTGCAAAAATTGTGGGCAAAGCTTTGCCAGGAGATCGAGTCTTCTCAGACATCAGAGGAAACACTGAGGGGACAGTTGTTCTGTTTGTCAGTATTGTGGGCATGGCTTATGCAGAAGTCAACTCTCATCCAGACACCTGAGGAGATTCCCAGGTTTAGACGTATTTTGTGTGCCTAGCATTTACGGAGAGACTTTACTTGAGAAGAACTGTAAAGTGTTTTGTTTTTTAAAAATATTTGTTGTGTATGCATGCCCTTCATTAGTTACATGATTTTGAAATGTTTTTCCTATTTTGTGGATTTTCTTTTCATTCTCTGAAGTGTGCCAATGAATCACAAGACTTTTGCATTTTAGTATTATTTATATATGTATATTTTTTTTCCTTTTTGCTTATGTTTTGGTGTCACTTCTAAGAATTCAGTGCCTAATTAAGGTCACAGAGATTTAACCTAGTATTTTTCTCCTCAGAGGTTTACGGAGTTCCCTCTGACATAGACGTCTGTGATTCTTGTTGAATTAATATTTGCATATGATGTCAAGTAGGGTAACTCAGCTTCCTTCTATTAACCGGAAGCACACTGGGAATGCAGGAGAGTTGTTCCATCACCTCAGAAATGGAATTGTCTGGTAAGTGGTCATACTTGCACACCTCAAAGAGGCTCCTCGTGTCTGCAAATTCCAGAGAGACTCAGTCGTTAGGGTGACTTATTTTCAGTTTTGTGAGAGACCAGAAGCAATACTTGACCCTTACTTGAATGGACTGTCTCTGACTGGCCCCACATCACTGCAACCTTTGAACATTAACTGAGGTGGAAAGTGCCTGGATTTGTGTTGGGTTCTTTCCCCCCTATTAGCCTTCAGATATCTTATTCATAGGACATCTTGTGGAGGAAAAGGGGATCAAGATCCCTGCAGACTAAGTGATGATGTAATGCTGGCAATTGGATACACCCCTGAGGTCAGGTGGTGCAGGTGTTATTTTTGGTCCTGCCAGCTTTTGCTCCTGTGAATTGGTGCTGGGCAGAAGGGCCGTGGCCAGCTCAGTATCTGCTTCCCAGACACCAGGAAATATATTCATTTGCTAAAGCAATAATAGCATTCTGGAATGGAAGCTACTATTCCAACACCGTTTAGTTACGTTTACAAGAACCAAGTGTCACTCTCTAAATGGAGTTAAATGGAGAAATGGCGACAGTTGCCACCATTCTGTTACATCCTTCATTTGCTTGATTCTGACACTAACCTGCAATTCTGAGAATTCCGTTTTCTTTTTACTCCTTCCTTACGAGGAAAAAAAAAATTCCAGTGGCTTCTATCTGGCTTTTTCTACTTGCTCCAACTTTGAATCCATGAGATAACCAAGCATAGATGAGTTATCCCACGCTGTTTATAATCTCTGAAAACCCTCTCGGGGGACAGCTCTAAGTCAGGTCCCACTGGCCAGTGCATGAGAACATTAGCCTCTACATTTAAGAGATCTAGTATTCTGACAGTTGCTAAAACTCTTATCAATAACCTAACCTCCATATATCCCAACCCTCACTAGTGGGCCGCTGCAACTTGTTTGGTCTGCTGAAATCAGTGTCAGTTCAAAGCCCAGTAATAATCTAAATGTATCATTCTTTCTCGTCCCTCAAGAAATACTCCTGAAAGTATATTTTTGCAGGAGCATATTGGTGTCCTCAAACTATCTACCCTTCATTCAAGGCGTTATGGCTTTGGAAAGTGCTTCAATTGTGGGGATGTATTGAGTACTATTCTTTCAGCGCAAGTTCTAGTGCCATTCACCTAATACAGGTTTCTTTCTCCTCTCTGTTGTTACGTTACATTGAGTTGACTAGGGCTCATAGCAACTCTGTGAACAACAGATCAGAAACTTCCCCGATCCTGCACTATCTTCCGAATCTCTGCCCAGCTGGAGCCCATTGTTGCCGTCACGGTGTCAATCCATTTTGTTAAAGGGCTTCTTCGGGACACTCCCCCTTTCCTAGCATAATGTGTTTTGCTGTGAATTGACCCCTTGTGACATCATGTCCAAAGTATATGAGTTGACGTTTCACTATCCTTGCCTCTAAGAAACAGCCTTCTTGCCCTTCCAATAATTGGTTGATTTTTTTCCATCAGTGTCATTAAGGGTGGCCACACCCTCATCACCTATGCTTCAGTGAACCAGCCAAATTTTAACATTTGTTAACTTCTTGAGCTGAAACTGAATAAAGACTCTTTACTTCACGGACTCAAGTCCATAAACTCAGTTGGATCCAGTTTTTTTATTCCTTTAACCTTTATTCTGTACCCTATTAAACTCTTTCCACACATGTTCTCTAAGTTTCTGTTTATACTTTATTAGATAAATTGAGACATTGTTCAGGTGTGGCATATATTTCTTCCTGGGTGGCAATTTGTTGTTCACTTTGTGGGGCTCACTAGGATTTAACTAGTTTTGGGCGTAGTATCAAAATTAGTAATGGGATGGTGCTTGAGAACATGCGGCAGTATCTTTTAAGGCATCTGCCTCTGTCTCTGACCCAGGAGAATGCAAGCAATTGTTCTCACTGATTTGTTGGTTACCTCTGATTCCATGAAGGCCAGCATTCTGAAAAGGGACTTGGGGAGCGCTGGTGGCCTAGTGGCAAGAAGCTGCACCACAATCCCAGAAGTGCGTGGTTCAAATCCACCAGTTGCTCTGGAAAAGGAGGGACAATCTCCTCCTGTACCAGTCAGATCCGATTTGACAGTACATGCACAAAAAAGAATAAAAATTTGAAAAAAAGGGACTCAGAAAATAGTTCTGAAACACTGGCTGAAAATACCTCCAATATCTGAAAGTTTATGGTGTTGGTATCCTACAAGTTCAGCCAGGCATTTGTTGATAACATATTGCCTGTTAACAGTGCAAAGTTGAAGTTATAGTTGGAACTACAGACACTTCTCTTACTGTCAAGTGCTGTCCAGTTGAGTTTGACTTAAAGTAACTCCACGAACAACAGATGGGAACCCTGCCGTATCCTAAACCATCACCACTATCGTCATCATCATCACAACACTACAGCAATGTTGCAGTCACTATGTCATTCCATCTCTTTGAGGATTTTCCCCTCCTTTGCTGACCCTCCACTTTCTGAACACAATGGGGTTTTTTCCCCCAGGGACTTGCCCCTCCTAACAAGATACCCCAAGGATTTGGGACAAAGTTTCACCATCCTGCTCTCCAAAGCATATGCGTTTGCTCCCTTGGAAGTCCAAGGGATATTTAATGCTCTTCTCCAGCACCACACCTCACAGACATTGATTCTTTGTCATCATTAGTCACTTCAACTTTTGAAGTAATGAACATGGCAAGTAATTGAAAAACTTTATCACTTTGACCAGTTCCACCTTGGTCTTTAAACTGACATCCTTGCTCTTCAGCACTTTGGAGCGTGCAAACTTTGCTGCAGGCTCTCTCCCATTGCAAGATGTCTTTTTGATTTCCTGCCTGCTGGAACCAAGTACATTGATTATAGATCCGAGTAAGATTAAATAATTGACAGTTTCTATCTTTTTTCCATGTATCATTGTCTTGCCTCTCGGCCCAGTGGTGAGGATTTTTGCTTTATTGATATTGGAATATAATCCACACTGAAGCCTGTAGTCCTTGAACCTTCACAGTAAGTAAGCGCTTGACATACTGACTTTGAGCAAGCAAGGTTATTTCATCTGCATAACAAAGGTTGTTGATGTTTTTTTCCAATCATGATGCCACATTCCTCCTCATAAAGTTCATCTTGAATTAATTGTTTGCATCGAGATTAAGGAGGGAGACAGGAAGAATACAGTCATGGTGCACTTTTTAAAAATTTTATTAATTTTAGGCAAGCTCTGGTGGCCTAGTGGCAAGAAGCTACACTGCAATCCCAGAGGTGTGCGGTTCAAATCCACCAGATGCTTTGCAGGAGAAGGAGGAACAATCTCCTCTTGTACCAGTCAAATCTGATTTGATGCTACAGACACACACACACGATAAAAATGAAAACATTAATTTTAATGAACATTTACAGAGATTTTGGATTTCTGTTTGTTCATTATTGCACTTTTCTCACTGCCCACCCTTCCTCCCAGTACACTTTCTTGATTTAAACCCTTGCTATCTTTGGATACGTCATGCTTGGGAGGGTGGAGGGACAGCACAGGAGGGGAAGGCCCTCTATGAGGTGGATTGATTCAGTGACTGGGATAATCGGGATGGGAGTGTCAGAGACAGTGCGATTGGCACAGGATAGAGCAGGGTTTAGGGCTGTTGTACATAGGGTCGCTATGAGTCACAAGCAACTCGACAGCACATAACAACAACAACAACAACATCTTTGGATAACAGATTCCTGGTCCACATATAGGTTTTGCAGAAGCATGATTAAGTATTCTGGGATTCTCAGTCTTTTAATGTTCTCTAGTAGTAGTCTTTTTTATCTTTGCTGGGTTTATCAGCCAAAGCTGTTTATTGGAAATGCATGTCATTAAAAGTTTGATTTGCTTATTTGAATTCCATCATCTCCTAATCACTTCCTACCAATCCATTAAATGATGAGAAACATGATTTCTAGAAAACAGAACATTAAAATATGAGCAGTATCCCAACGTAAAAATCCAAAGTAGTCCTCCTTTCTTGCTACTTATTTGAGCTGTTGTTATATGCTGTTGAGTCATCTGCACCTCAGAGTGAACAGCAGCCTGAACCTTGTCCTATCCTGAGCCAGCCTCACCTTGCCAACACACCTGACTCCAGTGACGGACACTGTCAGTCTGTCTTGTTAAAGAGTCTGGTTTTTTTTTGGCTCTGACCTTTCCAAGCATGATGTTCTTCTCCCAGGATGTCCCCCCCCCCCCCCCCACCTAAATATATGTCCAAAGGATGGGAGACAGAGTTTGAGCATCCTTGCCTCCAAGAAGCACCCTGGTTTCACTTTCTCCCTTACAGACTTGCTTGTTCCCTTACTTTTCTCCAGCACCACAACACAAAAACTTCAATTCTTCTTGTGTCATCTTAAGTCATTTTCCAGCTTTCAGATGGATAGCAAGCTACTGAGA